CAACCAGAAGAAAGGCCCAGGCGGCGGCAGACCAAGCCAGGCTGCGTCGCGAAGACCAGCCGTCGCGAGCTGCGATCCGTCGCGGACGAGCCGCCCAAGCAGGAACGGCGACTCCCAGCCTTCGCGGGTATGAAGCCCCCAAGCAGGACAGCGAAGCCCAGCCGACGCCGGCCGGAAGCCCTAGCGGGAGCGGCGAGCAGCAGAAGCCCTAGCGGGAGCGCGTGAAAAAAAAAATTGGAGCTTTATTGAAGTCCTTGGTCTTTATCTTTAGGGAATTTGGCCAGTAATTGTGATGATCCTTACGAACACTAAAACCAACATTATGGGTATAACTGCAGTAAACTGATGGTGGCAATGGAGTAACCTATAAAATTGTGAAATTAATTAGGGCTTTATCAATCCCCACAAATACTTAGGTTTTCTTTGATATATAAAAATTATAAAATCTTCGCTTAAAATATGTAAGTATACATGTCGAATTAAGTAATATAGTGATAGAATAGAGTATCAATCCCACAAAGAAGATGTGCTCACTTGCTATTCAGTAGTATTGTATACTAAAATTATAATAATTATTCTACTCACTTAAAATAAAAATTGTGGAGATTCAATCTCTTAAATAAAATTAGATAAAAATAATGAATACATTATATGGATATAATGTTTTTTATTGATGAATGTAAATAACATATTTTTTCTAATTAATCTCTTTTAATTGTGATGCTATTCAGAGCATATACATCCTTAGATCTCTGTCAAACTTGTAAGAACAAAGGATGTCTATCGACTTCTTACAGTTATATCATCTCATTAAGAATTTAATATATTTCATACCCTATGCCTAAGCATGACGCATACTAATTCAATATTCTTGGTTATGCTTGTTTACATCTGTATAGGCCCCACATTACATATAATTTAACTACATATATGATCACTATGTATATTAAAAGAAGATTTAGTAATATTGAAAACATCTTTTTAATTAATTAAGAAATAAGATAATTCATTAGTACTATATACGATACTTACATATCAATTCAAAATAAGATAATTTAGCAAGATATTGAGTAGAATTGAAGCAAACTCATTTTCATTGATATCATAATAGAAAAAAAAAATAATATAATAGATAGATATCACCATAAGAGTACAATGGATCTCCTCTACACTCTTTCTCTTTACGTACAATTTTGCTTACACAAACACAAGCCAGACACTCTAATGATAGAATCAAATATTTTTTCTAAATTCACTTAGTTGTCATTCTAAGTGAGTTTTTGAAAAAAAAAAAAAAAAAAACTCTAAATTAGACTAAAATTATATAAGTGACTAAACTCCATTACAAATATAACACAATGATTATTTATAGGAAAACAAGCGTTTGACAGTAGAAAGATCAGTGTCGTTGCGCCCATTAAATGAACTAATGCTGTTGTGCTATTTTTCTGGTGCCGTTGTGTGGCTTGCTGATGTGGATCAGTTACTTGGTGAATAGTCTCATCGCTTCGATGACAGATCGTGTTCCTGGGAAATCACAACTGCTATGCCGCGGTGTGCTAACGTTTGGATGCTACGGCGTCGGGAGAAATGGGTGCCAAGGCTTTATGGATTATGACACAGTGATGCTGTACAACAAAGAACTCGGCATCGCGAAAGTTAGTATTTGACCGCTGCGATGCTGCTTTGAGAAGTCGTCGTTGCAATGCTGATATTTTGGCGCTCTGGCGGTGTCTTTGATGACGCTGCGACGTTATTTATTTCTTCGACGCCGTGTTGCTATATGAAACTTAGAATTTTATGTCATTTTCCTACATAATACAATTAAAACAATACATATTCACTTATTATTTATACTTATCATAAACCTCGTATGCCTCTTTCACATCCTGGTACAAAATATGTAAAGAAAAGTAAAATTGTATTGAATATGCATGAAATACTCAACAAATACTCATCAAATATACAACAAATAAGCAACAAATACTCAATAAATACATATTAAACACTCACTAAATACTCAATAAATACTAAATAAATAATCAACAAATACTAAACCCTAAAACTCAACAGATACGTAGAAAGTAAATTCATGTTTTTTGTTTTTAAAAAGAAGCTCAAATCCTAAACTAAAGCTTAAACTTGAAAAAATTATTTAAATTATCCAGCAGAGTTGAACCGATCCGGCTGACAAAAACATAAAAAAGACTACAAATAATTAGCGTGTTAAATCCAGTCGGGAGGCAGAGCTACGCGCGGACTCCGCGCCTAATAATTTCTCCATGGTCACACAGGTTCCTTTCAGCTGAAGTCATCCTCGCCGGACTAATAAGAGAGCTTAACGAAAGCTTCCTCTCTCCTTTCCCATTGACCTCGTTTAAGTCCCATTCTAGGTTTTTCCAGACCTTTCCCTCCGGTCTTCCTCCGCTTTGACTCGATCTGAGCCTCCTAGTCGGTGAAGAAGCGAGGGAGGGGAGGAAGAGAAGGAAGCAGTGGCTTACGCTTTGATTGCTCTCCATTCCTTACCTCCCCTCTCTCCTTGTCCTTGTTATTGTCTTCTTCTACTCGTACATTTTTAAGGACGCGCAGAGATACTCAAATCACTTTACAGTTTGCCCTGTTTTTCGTCAATGGGCATCTCGTTCAGCAAGAGGCGTGCCAGCGGCGGCGGTACCAGTGGATCTGTCTCCGGCGGTAGCGACCAGTATCTGGCGGAGCTGAGCTCGTACGAGGCAGCTTGCAGGGTGGATCCGGAGATTGAGAACTTTGATGCCGGTCTCCAGCAGCGTACTAGCCGGGTTATCTCCAATCTCGCCGTTAACGTCCAGCTCCGCTCTCTTTCATTTGATACCCTTACAGAAGTTGCTGGATCCCTCTTCGACATGAACCAAGACGTCGTCCGCATCATCCTCGACTGCCAAAAGGATATCTGGAAGAACTCGGAGATCTTCCCGCTCGTTGAGGACTACTTCGAGAACAGTCTCCGTACTCTTGATTTCTTCACTACTCTTGAGAATTGTCTCAAGAAAGCTCGCCACTCTCAGCTTATTGTTCAGCTCGCCCTTAAAAGCTTCGACGAAGAACACGCTGCCGCTGCCGCGGCCGCAGCCGATGAGGAGGTCCAATCTCTAGAAGAGAACAGAAAGACGAGATACACGAAAACCCTAGAGGAGTTGAGGCATTTTAAGGCTACTGGGGATCCGTTCACTGATGAGTTTTACCAGGCATTTCAATCAGTCTACCAACAGCAATTGTCAATGCTCGAGAAGTTGCATCGTAGAAAGAACGAGCTTGACAAGAAGCTCAAATCTGTCAAAGCATGGAGAAAGGTTACGTGCGTAATCTTTGCCTCGGCTTTTGCGGCACTTCTGATCTGCTCGGTGGTGGCTGCTGTGGTGGCTGCGCCGCCTATAGCAGCGGCGTTGGCTGCTGCCTCTTCGATTCCGTTGGGATCTATGGGGAAGTGGTTTGATTCCATGTGGAAGGGCTACCAGGACGCACTTAAGGCTGAGAAGGGGCTAATTAATGCAATGCATGCAGGGACCTTTGTTGTGATTACTGATTTGGATAGCATTAGAGTTTTGGTGAACCGATTGGAAGATCATATACGATTGCTGTTTGAGAATGCTGAATTCGCATTCAAAGATGAAGAGGCTGTGAGGCTTGGTATCGAGGAGATAAGGAAGAAGATGGGAGTGTTTATGAAAACCATTGAGGATTTGGTGCAGCAGGCTGATCGGTGTAGCAGGGACATAAGGAGGGCAAAGACTGTGGTTTTGCAAAGAATTATCAAACTGCCCAAATGATGCGATGGAAGCAAATTGGTAACGATTTTTACTAGTGATGCAGTGATGCTCATGTGCATGTTTTCTTTTATATTCTACACCAGAGATACTGCTACAACTTGCCCACCGGTTTTGGAAATCAAAAGTACCAGTGAGACAAGGTGAATTGATAAATTTAAAATTAATCCAATAAGTATAATCTTGTCTAGATATCAACAAAAATATAATAAAAGCTTTCTAAAGTTAATGGCATTGAAATATTTATCCTCTAAAACTTAAGCTTAACTAGTATAAGTGTATAACAATAAATTCAAATAATAAAAGTCTATTAAATTAATTAAATAAATTATGATCTTTTTCAGCTTCCCAAGCTGTTTAAAACTTAAACCTAGAAGCTCTATATTCTAAGAGACACCAATAATAATTTTAAAATCATAAACATCGATAGGTGTGAATTTGCAAGAAACAAACTTAATAGGTGAAACTATTGGCCAAGTTATAAATAACAAGAGATCTAGAAGGCATTATGACCAATAAAATTGCATGGTAAACAATGCATGCTATCATAACAATCATAATCATTGTATCAACTTAAACACATCTTTTAGTCCAACATTTTTTTGAATGAGAATTAATTATTAATGATTTTTATGTTGTAATGCTCATATGAAAAATGACAATCATTGCTTTCGAGTAATAGATCATCTAGTTGCATTCTTCTTATTTATTCATACAAAAATGACTTATCAATCATTTGTTATTATAAATTTAATAGATAACTGATTGGTTGTAGTACTTTGAATTAGAGGAAATGTTTCGCTCACCTGGTTTAGTCTAGTGACTCTAAGAGAGTTGTTACTCTATGAACCAATTTACCTTACTAGCCACATATCAACATAAGCGTACAACAAAAAAAAAAAAAAACACAGAATAGTTAATCAAGCTTCTTACCACACTTTATATATCTTTAATCGAGCTTGTTCACGAGTCTTAATTGATGTAATTATAATTTTCCTTTAAAAAATTTCATTTATTATATAATATATATTATAATTGAATAATTTTAATATTTATTACGTTATTCGTTTCAACCCCAGTCAAACCATTGAACCTTGAACTTCTCTTTCTTTAGGTTTTGTCTGGTCCAATTTTCACAATCTTGGTTATGAACAAGTTTTTATAACAAAGATAATGTAATTGATATGCCAAATCATACTTTATGTAAACAAAGTTTATGATTTGCATAAGATGTATTTCACATTAGTTAAAGTTATGCACATATAAAATAATTTATTCCATAGCATGGTTTATTTTAAGATTAATGAATTTCTACTTTAACATATCAAAGCTAACTAAACATGATATTGTATCAATATAAGCATAAGAACCATTACAAAGGAATCAAGTATGTTCTACAATATAGATTAACATATAAATGGGGCATGCTTATAGTTTGACATGCTGAGCACGACTCTACTATATCCCACTCCAACACATGGTACTCAACAATTTCAGTGTTCCTCTAATTTACTTCATAATTAATTCCACATATTCCTTAATTATGTAGTTATTTATGCATAGAATATTATTGACCATAAGTTCATGAAATCCTCAAAAACTCATCCAAGATTCAATTATCATAGAATTCTTTTAAATACACATATGCACACACACACAAATTTATTTTAATAAACAAAAATAACTTCACATAATTCATTTTGATTAAATCTCAACAGATACGCTCCTACAATACCAAATATTTCTTATAGATGGTCTTGCACAAATCATGGAAATGGTAATATAGGGTTAAATGCCCTAAATCTCTATGTTAGCCCTTTAAAAAAATTTTAAATAAACACTAAAAATCAATCTGGGGTGGTTAATTGTTAGACTGGTCCGGCCGATCCACATTGAATCGGCCCGTGTCTACACAAGGCGGAGCATAGTTTCTTCTCCTGCTTGTTCCGCCCAAATGGTGGATCTAACAGCGTCAATTAGGAAGGATTTAGGTGGGAATTAGGAGGGAAATTTGAATATAGGGGCTGTTTAGAGATTTTCTTTTGGATTGTATGCATTAAGTAATATGTCTTCCTAGGGTAGGACATGTAGAAGTTGGCTTTATTTTGACTGTTTCTTTGCTGTTTTGGGCTCTAGCAGCGTCTAGAGAGTTGGGAGAGTCGGATCTTCTTCTTCGATTGAATATCCATTGTATCATGTGTGTTTTCTACCTACTACTATCAAGTTAATTATGTTCCCGTTTGTGTTTCTTCAAGTTCTTCCAAATTCTGGTTTCACACCTTGCTGAAATTCAAATTCAGTCAAGGTGATTTGGAGTTTGATTGAACTTTTCTATCATTAATCTCTGCTCAAAACCCCATCTAATTAATATAATTTTTAGGAGAGAAATTATATAAAGTTGAGACTAAGTTAGGGTTTTACATTAATATAGGCAAAAAAATAAGATGGAGAAGTGGCCATGCTTATGATCCTTCTATAGCCACCATCAAAGCTTGTTAGTTGCCTCATTGTCTTCCTCAATTTCTTTCTTACTGACCATCTCTGTATCGCTTGCTCTTCCCCGACTTCTATCTCTTGCTTACATTCTCTCATTGCCCTCTTTGATTTCTACACTTTCTTTATCCCGAGTCAGGATTAGTAGGCATTACCCACTGCCTTTCACAAAGTGATGTGGAGCATCAAGTTGAGATGGTCAGATTGGACCAACTTAATCCAATATTTTTTTACTAGCTTGTTATATATATTGTTATATTGATTGGGTTGGGAGCTGGCCACTCTAGGCAGACGTAAGTTCAGTTCGCACTTTTGCACAATTCCTATATTTCCTTCCCGAAGGATTATCCTATACATTTGCTCATGGAGCTTTGACAAGTGAGGCCATTTGTTTTATTAATTTCCATTCTTAACATTAATGGCTGAATTGTATGCCGATAGAGACGAGCCATTGGCGACCGTGACCGAGTCGGAGCTTGTGTAGGTCACGGGTTGATGTAGACTTGTGCTGTCGTGCGTTAAATGATTTGTCGCGCCGGTGTCGAGGATCCAGTTTTGTGGAGGCGTAGGTTGTGTGAGGAGTGCGCGCGGTGCATTTTGGATCGTTGGAGCATACTTGTAATTGCTCCGGTGCCAACAATTTAATGCAATGTGTCCAATCTTGCCACAGATTTGGCAAGTTGGTCGATTGACCTGATTGGTATTTGTTGCATCCGGCTGCTCCGATTGACGAGGGGCGGAAGATTTGTTCTTAAAGAATCGTTTCGGGGCACAGTTCTTTTGTTGATTGACGGAAGCAGCATAGAGGGCGGAGGTGGAATTGTTGAGAGATTGCTCCTTCTTGATTTCATGATTAATATGTATCTCTTCACTGCAAAGTTGAGAATAAAGCTTGTCAAGATCCGCGGGCGAGGATGAGGTACGAATTGCAGTTTTGAACGCGTTATAGGTCGTCGGAAGACCGTTCAAAATGTAAAGAACGATGTCCTCTGGATCGATTTGAGTTCCTGCTACGGCGATGTTGTCCACTAGGTTCTTGACGGTGGAGAGATACTGTTGCATGGTTTGATTGTTCATCTGGACATGATGTAGTTCATTCTTGAGTTGAATTACTCGAGAACGACATGTCGACTGAAGGCGACGTTCGAGGGTTTCCCATACTTCGTGGGCGGAGGAAGAGGTAATGACATAGGGAAGGAGGGCCGGAGAAATAGTGGAAAAGAGAGCAGAGATTAAGTTACTGTCGATAAGGCGCCAGCGAGCGTAATCTTGCGAATGTGTATCGGTGGGCGGGACGATCTTGCCAGTGAGAAAATCGGCATAGCCGTTGGCCGTGAGATTTTGATAGATTTGGATCCGCCAGATTGCATAGTTGTCCGCAGTTAGGTGATGCGGGATGAGATTCTTGAAGTTTGAGATGATGAACTTGAGAGAGGCCGGCAGGACGAGCTCTCCGTAGATGTACCGACGAATGTGGAGGTTGAAGCGGGAGGGATGGAGGAAGTCGATTCTTGTTCTCCCATTTCCCGGTGCTCTGATACCATGAAAGAGTTTGAGAGGAAGAAGAGAGACGGAGCAGAGAAGATAAAAGGAAAAAGTAATTCTGTATCATTCAAAGCACAGTTACAGAGAATATATATAGACAGAGGAAAATTACAAAAGTAAATAAGTGCCGTTGTAGTATAAGCTAACTAATGACAGCTGCTCACACTTTATACCTCCTTTTAATGCTTGAATTTTACTTATTTTTTGTGAAAATAACTACTCTGCATTATTGAGGGTCCAGTACTGCTGTCTATTCTTTCAAGAAAGAAGTGGTTGATATCTGTGTTTTGTTAGGGAAGTGTAGTAGTAAAGTGAAGGAGTTATTGGAAGAAGTGAAATTAGTTTTTTTTCCTCATATGCTATGTTGTGTATTCAATGGAGAAAAAATATGTTTGCATCAAGCACAATCAATGATCCATACGGATCATACTTCCTAATGAGTTAAGCCTAGGCCGTACTCAAGTTATTAGAACAATTGTAGCCTTATAGACTCTGGCTAACTATCCCATGATTGAGCAAAGCATGGTGACTGCATGTTAGAACCTACAATAAGTGAGTTCTTTGATGGATTTTTGTTATATCACAATTGATTATAAACTTTCCAATGGTAGCTTTGAGCGGGAGGGATATGTGGTGTGGAGGACTCTTATAAATGAAAGTTTTTATTTATTTTTGGGTATATTAGAGCATGTGGATTCAACTCTGTAGCGTATAGTTGAATGAAATGTTTATATAAATACATTAATTGTTGCTCTTATCCATTGACTTAAATCAATTGTTGCTTGACAATGAGGTATCAAGAAGAACATCTCCTCGGTGAACCTTATCCTAAACTTGGTTAAATTATTTAGATTGGTTTGATATGATGACTCCTTATTTGGGTTTAATGCTTAACTTACTAAAACTCTCTTAACTTACCAAAACTCTCTTAACCAAGTTAATATTGGGGGCTTATGAAATAATAGAGATAAGATAGAACAATTTAGATCACCGTGTGATCACCACAATATAGATTTAACTATTCTTCTTCTTTCTTATCAAATAATTATACCTTAATCGCTATTCTTCATCATGTTTATCAACCAACTGTACCTTGATCATTCTTATGGATTAAAATTTTCTCCTATGAACCCACTTATTGTAGCTACACGACTAATAGAGCATGCAAGTGGGGACGAGAATGTCTGCAATGACTTCATCATTGCTTTCTTCAAGAATCTATAGTGTTTGATACATACCAAACCAACATTAAGTTGATATTTGATCTTTACCGCTCTTTGGTTCCTAAAATAAAAAAGTGAAGCGTTTTCATTGATTTGTTATTAGAAAAACTTTGGTTTTACTTGCAAGGAGATTTGGGTGAACGCATAAATTCTAGTGAATAGTGGATTCTTGTTCCACACATACTTGTGTGCTTATTTTAGCATCTTGTTAGCGGATCATTTCCTCTACTCCTTAGAATGCCGACTATTCTTGAACTATATAAATCTTGAATTTTTCATTTAGTTCGATCTTAATAAGCATATTTAGATTAACAATTTATGTTTGAAAATTTTAAGTGTTGTGTGATTTTTCTTCTCTAATGTTAGATCTGCATTAGTAATCATAGCCCTTAAGAAAAACAACTTCAATTAGCCTCTTGATAATTTATTAATAAAAATGAATGAATTGATGTTGTAGAGTACAACAACAACAACAAGCCTTTATCCCACTACGTGGGGTCGACTACATGAATTCTTTTTCTCCATTGTGCCCTGTTAAGAGACAAATTCTCATTTAAATCGCTCTGTTAAGGGTCAAATTCTCATTTAAATCTAATAAAGAAAGGTCATTTCTAATGGTTTATATCCACCTTTATTAATTTAAGTCAAATCTAATACATCTACTTTCCTAACCGGGTCATCAGAAGGCCGCCGTTTTATGTGACCAAATCATCTAAGGCGACTCTCTCTAATCTTATCTTCCATTGGAGCTACTCCAAGTCTCCAACCTTTTCACGTATATGCTCATTTCGTATCCCGTCTTTAAGAGTAAAGCCACTCATCCACGTGAGCATCCTCATCTCTGCAACACTTAATATTATACTTCTCTTTTAATGACCAACATTCTGCACCATAAAGCATTTCAGAGTATATAAAAAAAAAACTTATATTTCTTTTGAAAGTTGCTCATATTCTTTGAATATCTAAGACTTGAAGATCCAAAATGGGGTTTCGAAGTTAATCTAATTTTATCTCTGTTTGTCTATTTGAACAAAGCACCGACCCCAATGAGATAACCTCTCTTCTAGTTACTAAATTATTCAATTAGGCTCAGTGTTTCCAATTAATCCAGAACTTCTTACATCAAACAAGATGAATTTTAAGATTAAACTTTATTCTATGATATTATCATAGGATTCCTATTTTTCTATTTTAAAACAAGCCTCCAAGAAGGCTTAGTTGGTCTTTGATCTATATTTCAATTTTTTCCACTTTTTGTATGTTGTGAAAAATATCTCGATCAATTCCAAAAAATGGTTCCATAAATTGATAGAATAAGAAGTACAAGTTATTTACATTATGGAAGAAAGTATGTAAATATTATTTCCTAGTTTGATAAGAATTATTCCTCTCTTTTATTTTTTCAAATCAACTACATTTAGATGGATTCTAACATCAGATTTTTTTATTTTAGTTATGATCATGAATTGAATTATTGAATAAAAAAGGAGTTTAGAAATAAGAAAACATATCAATTAAAATAAGAAAAATCAATGGTCATTATTTTCATGATTAACCTAGTTATAAAATTCATACATTTTTTAAAAATTTTAATTCTCAATTCATGTTACAAGAATTCTTAATAACAACAATGACAATAAGCTTTTATCTCACTATGTGAGGTTGCTACATAAATCAACTTTTTTTATTATGTTCTATTAAGAGTAAAATTGCCATTTAAATCAATAAAAATGTCATTTTTAATATTTTATAACCAACTCTTTTTAGGTCTACCTCTATATTTTTTAACATAGACCGGCTCTAATACATCTACTCTCCCAACTAGATCATCATAAGGTTAACGTTTTATGTGACCAAATCATCAAAGGAAGCTCTCTTTAGTGTTATCTGCCACTGGAGCTACTCCAGCCTTTTCACTTATATACTCGTGTCACATTTTGTTTAAGTGTAAAGCCATTCATCCACTTGAGCATCCGCATCTCAACAACATTTAATATGCTCCAATTTTAATGGCCACCACTCTGCATCATAAAGAACTATAGATCTCACCATCCTTTTATAAAATTTTCACTTGAGTTTGAGGGATATTCTATCACACAACAGGCCCGATGCATTCCTCCATTTCAACCATCTAACTTGAATTCTACTGATAATATCGCCTTCTATTTCACTATTGCTTTGAAAAATAAACTCGAGATATCAAAAATGTGTACTCATTTTAATGATTTGGTCATCTAATTTCACATTTCCACCACTAGATCCATTATCATTAAAATTATTTTTCATGTATTTAGTTTTAACTCTACTCAAATGAAAACTTTTAGACTCTAAAGTTGATCTCCATAATTCTAGTTTTTCTTTAACTATGTCTCTAGTTTTATCAAGAAAAAGAATATCATCAACAAAAAGCGTACAACAAGGTACATCCTATTGAGAATGTTTTGAAAGAACACCCATGACTAAATTAAAAAGATATTAGCTTAAAGCTGATCCTTGATGTAATCTAATTGGAATAGGAAAATACTTGGTCAAACCATCTTGTGTTTGAACACAAGTACAAGTAACAACTCTTATATACATATCTTTAATGGTTTTATTATAACTATGTTGCACCGATACACCTATTTATGAAGGTGTGTTATATCATATACGTGTTGGAAACGGATACGCGTCGGATACCACATAGCCGTATCCAATTAAAATACTATTTAATTTCAAAAGGACACGCATATCAGATACACGTGTATTGCGTGTCCGTTGTAAAATGAAAAAAACCCGAAAAAAAGACGCATTGTATTTTATTCCGCGGCCAAGTTTCATCCTCATCTTGTTGTGAAAGAAATTGGAGCATATGCTCTTTCATCCAATCAATGAAGAGAAATAAACTTATTTCACAACGGGCTGAAGATTTAGTTTATGTGCATATAAACCTTTGACTTCTAACAAGGAAAACTCCAACTTATATGAAAGGAGATAACAAGATGTGGGATATTGCTGGAGATGGATTTGAGTCTCTTGATGATATTGAAATGTTATAAATTGCTAATCTTTCACTTGATGAGCCTGAATTGAAAGCTATGATATTTATTGAAGATGATATAGAAGTTCAAAGACAAACCACTGAAGAAGCTAATCCTATCATTCCTTCTATTAAATAGTTGAAATTTCATATGCTAGACAATTAATGTCTATGTTTTTTGTTCTTGGTTAATGCTTACTTTTATTTTGATATTATAAGCTACAAGGCTACAAATGATGTTGTTTTTATTTTTTTTGCCATTTCAAATATCATGCTTTGATTGCTTTCTTAATTTTTATGTATGATTTATAAATTATAATGTCGTTTCTGCGCCGTACCCATATCATGTATTTTAAGAATTGACGTGTTCTGTATCCGTATCGTGTTGTATCCGTGTCGCTGTATCCGTATCGGTGCAACATAAATTATAAGCATTGTTAACTCCTTTCTGTTCTAGAACTCTTCAGAGTAATTCTTTTGGAACTTTATCATATGTTTTCTCTAAATTACTAAATATCATATGTAGATCCTCCTTACACTCTCTATACTTCTCCATCAAACCTCTCAACAAATGTATAACTTTCATAATGGACCTACTCAGTATAAATCCAAATTGATTTTGAATAATATTAGTATCACGTCGTAACCTATGCTTAATTACTTTCTCCCATAATTTTAATATATGACACATTAACTGAATTTCTCAATAATTTGTACATTTTGCCCACTATTTTTATTCTTGAAAATAGAAACCAATACACTTTTTCTTCACTCTTTCTTCTTAGTCAAACCAATTTTGTACTATTTTGACTCTCCAAGAACATATTTTGCAACATTATTAATATCACTAATTACTTTTTCTCACATAACACTAAGATTCTCATGAACAATCCTAATCTTAAGATCTTAAATTTAATCTCAAAAATATTTTTATTTGCCTTCTTTAAAAACCCCAATCTAATTTTAGGATAATGATAAAAGAATTTCTCAATGAAAATAAAATGAACATAACTAGGATTCTCAATGCAGCACAATTCATGATTACTGATTAGATTATGTTGCGGATTGTCATTTAAAGGTGATATCCTAGCTTATCCTTGCTTAGTTTTCACCACAATTCAATGAAGCTCTAGTGTTTCACTCAAGGGGGTCTCTTAATGCGAAGAGGAATTTGAAGGGGAAGACAAGAGAATTGATATACATAATGATTTGTGGAAGAATATCTATTATTTGTTTACATGAAATAAAACAGAAATATTGTGCAACGTGTTTACTTGCTATTGCTGCTACGTAATCTCTCTTTCAAATGATTTCAACAATTGGATAAGTTGATTCGAGATTATGAGGCTGTTGATTTAGCCTGGGGAAGGTATCTATAAATAGCATTTGAAGCAAGTATCTTCAAATGATTTGAAGCATGCTAACATTGTTATATAGGTATTTTTATTGTTTAATATTTGATGTAATTGTGCAGCTGCTTCTACTTCGTATTTTACTTATTATTTTGAATTAAAGTATTTCTTGGAGAAATCTTTTGATGCCCAGCTTTGCAATTATCTTCTCCTTAATTCTGTTTGTTTTCCTCCCTTCGATGACTAATTTCGACTTCTTATGCAACCGCTAAGGTTTCGTTTGGGACGGCTTTTTTACTGCTTCTCAAAGCAACTTTGTAGTGCAAAAATTTTAAATTTTGCATTACAAAGTTGTTTTAAGAAACAGTAAGAAAGCCACCCAAACGAAGCCTACATTGAGCTTAGTTGTGGAATTAAGATTTGAAAGCAGGAGACGAAACAAAAAGATTATGATGCCATCATGTCTATGGTGTATTTACATTTTAATCAATTGTATCATGTGAAAACATCTTTGCTAAGGGGTGAAATTTTTGTAGGGCATATGTTGTAATATATAATATAAAAGGCTGTTTGGCCCAAATTTTGGTTGGAGTAGGACCATCTCAATCCCCTCTAACATGGGAGCTCTTGAATGGTACAGTTTTTTACATTTTGTGCCATTTAACTTTGCACTTATTGAAAATGTTTTGTTAATTTTTGGAGTCTATTTTTGGCTCTAGGAAGGAAAAAGTGTTGCATAAACTTAGTCCCTATTCGGCTGCGAGTCGAGCCCTAGAAAAGGAGAAATTATTCTGTGCGGTCATCGGACGGCGTCCAAAGACGAATCAGGATGCGCCATGTCATTTTTTTTGCTGTGTACCGGGTGACGTGGCGCATCCCGATTCACCTCTGGACCGTCCAGTAATCGCACAGAATAATTTCTCAAGCATCCATAACCAGGTATCTTTTCATTAAGGATGTTTTGAGATTTCACTTATTTTTGACTAAACTTTTCTTTATAGAATGGAGGTGCCATTTTTATGCCCTATTTTAGACAATTAGGCTTGTTAAAAATCTCCGCAATATAATCATAGTGAAATTTATAACAAAAGTAATGCGGTGTAACCATCATCGAGTGAAATCTCAACCATTTTTATGCTGTATTTTAGACATTCAGATTGTTAAATCTCCGCACTAAAATCATAGTGAAATTTACAACAACAATCATGCAATGTAGCCATCATTAAGTGAGCATGTAAATTTTTTATTTTTCATTTTATGTGATGATCTTCGTTCTACGTTCTTATTTCAAAAATTTTTGCTCCAGTGATTGTATTAAGGCTTCTTTTGGGACAGCTTTCTTATTTTTTTCTAAAGTAATAATTTTGAACATAATTTTTATATTAAAGAACTGCTTTAAAAAGTAGCAAGAAAGTCGTTTGAAACGTAGCATGAGTTTTGCCCATTTGCCATCATGTTTACCATCTATACTTTTTCATTTATCTGCAGCTTCTCACTTTCTTACATCCAACATCAAGAATTTCCACTTCCAACAATTTCTTTCAACTTATTAACAGTAAAGCAGAGATGGTGACCAACCACAAGCACAGCAATTTCCTTCAGCCAGTCAAGGCCTGTGAGCATAACAAAGCAGCAGGCATGAAAATGTTAGTCTTCTCCATCCATGATGATTAACATCTGAACTTCACTACTTACCACTACCAAACTGATCTTCTGTGGTTAACATTTACTGCATTTCTGCCACTTTGTATCCTCTTCAATATCTTAGTTATTTAGTTTATCACAATAACTCTTTTTTATCAAGAGATCTCTAATTAAACAGTAATTAAGCAGACATTTGATTATATGATTACCTATCTATGATTTCATATCACAAGCTTCAGTTGGCTCAAAATAATCAGTAATTCAAATTGTACTATTCATTATATAGTGATTTGAAGGTAGATTGTTGTAAATTATTTTACTTTGGTTTTATAGCTGCTCAGATTAATAGTTATATTGATTTCATTGCAATATGAAGGTTATCGAACACAGTTCATCTTGATTTGTTGGTTGAGAGCATTGGTTATCAACCAAGAGGTCTTCGATTTGAGTCTTATGTATGTGCTGTGTATATGTGAGTTTGACTTAATTGGCCCAAGACTATCTCCAACTGAACTGCATACCACCGTATGTAATCGGTCATTCGGTCCATTCGAACTCCAAATTGCAGGTCAAAGTTGGTAGGTGAACAATGCGATGCCAATATTGGCGTCTGATTATTCACCTATGCCAAAAAATTTGGCCACGGGATTTGCCGAAGAAGTGCGCGAAAGAGGAGAAAATGGTTATCTTTGCAGGAAGCACGATAAAGAAAAGAAAAAATGTCGTTCGATTGGAGATGAATTACCACATTTTGAAATTTTGCTATATTTTGGAATGAAAAATGAGTTTTTCTGTTGGAGATGTCACTCTCCAAAAAATGAAGGGCAATTTTTAAGACTAAGCATGATTAAAGTCTTA